GCCCAGAGGGGCTAGGAAGGTGGCTCAGTGGTAGAGCACTTGCCTTGCATGCATGAGGCCCTGGGTTCGATTCCTCAGCACCACATAAGCAAAAAAAAGCTGGAAGTGGCACTGTGGCTCAAGTGGTAGAGCGTTAGCCTTGAGCTGAAGAGCTGAGGGACAGTGCCCAGGCCCATAGTTCAGGCCCCACGACCGGACCCAAAAAAAAAAAAAAAGTTACGTGCATTATTCCTAACAGAATAATAAGATGTAAATAAAACCTTATTCCTAAGAAAAATAAATGTGATTCTTAATGGACATTTTAACCTTGGTGATGATATAAAATGCTCACTAATCATAGATAGCATAGATAGCACACAGCACTTGTAACTGCCCATTGCCAAAATGCTGTTTCAGAGGTCACTAATTTAAACAAAATAACAACAATTGGCAGAATTAATGTAAGCCCTACAAAGTGCTTAACAAGAAAAGTGTAGTTAAAAACCAGAATGTGAAGAGGACAGCTGTTAGTTTGATGCTGTCAGAATTCACTGCTCTATATATAGCCTGTGCATTATGAAAAGATGTGTTTTCTCACAACTGTCATTTACTCAGTTTTTAATAAGGGTAAATAAAAGATTTTTCTCTCCAAGAGTCTAGGCGCATTTAAAGTTTAGAAGACTATGGTACATTGAGTCTCTAATAGTGACATACTTAGAACACAAAGCTAAAAACACTGCTGCCTTGCTTTCAGTTGAAATACTGTGTTTATTTTCAGCTCTATTATCATCTCCACTGGTTTTCTTAAGTGTGTGCTCACATGCTGCAGAAATTTTTATTTTTTTTTATTTATTTTTATTTATTTTTATTTTTTTTTTGGGTCCGGTTGTAGGGCCTGAACTCTGGGCCTGGGCGCTGTCCCTCAGCTCTTCAGCTCAAGGCTAGCGTTCTACCACTTGAGCCACAGCGCCACTTCCGGCTTTTTCTTTTTGCTTATATGGTGCTGAGGAATCGAACCCAGGGCCTTGAGCATGCAAGGCAAGTGCTCTACCACTGAGCCACCTTCCCAGCCCATGCTGCAGAAATTTTAAACCTGTGCACCCAACCACCTTCTTCATCCTCATTTCCCATTTCTGTTTTATTTGTTTGTTTTTTATTGGTCATGGGGCTTGAACTCTGGGCCTGGGCGCTGTCCCTCAGCTCTTCAGCTCAAGGCTAGCGTTCTACCACTTGAGCCACAGCGCCACTTCCGGCTTTTTCTTTTTGCTTATATGGTGCTGAGGAATCGAACCCAGGGCCTTGAGCATGCAAGGCAAGTGCTCTACCACTGAGCCACCTTCCCAGCCCATGCTGCAGAAATTTTAAACCTGTGCACCCAACCACCTTCTTCATCCTCATTTCCCATTTCTGTTTTATTTGTTTGTTTTTTATTGGTCATGGGGCTTAAACTCTAGGCTTGGGCGCGATTCCTCAGCTCATCAGCTCAAGGCGAGCACTCTACCGCTTGAGCCACAGCGCCACTTTCCCATTTCTAGAGCTTCACCTGTAATCAGTTTTCACCCCTCTCCTTGTACTTCCAGGTCGGATGATGATGATGCGGACAGTAGGAGCTCCAGGGTGACCCAACTTTGCACTTACTTTCAGCAGAAATACAAGCACCTCTGCCGCTTGGAGCGGGCAGAGTCTCGTCAGAAGAAATGCCGGCATACATTTAGGAAAGCTTTGCTGCAGGCAGCCAGTAAGGAGCCTGAGTGTACTGGGCAGCTAATACATGAACTACGGAGAGCTGCATGCAGTCGAACCAGGTTAGAGCCACCCACAGTCACCCCATGTGGGCCTCGTGTCATTTTGGTTTGGAGCAGATTGTTAAGGCACCATGTATGATATACATTTAAGCCCCATAATGTTAAGCATTGTAGTTTGTTTTGTTGCTGAGAAAAAGTTCTACCCTACACACGTGGCAAAAGAAGGCTGACATGTATTGGCAATAAAACTAAAATTAAAGCATCATGAATTTTTGCCAAAGTTCTATTAGAATCATTGATGATTTGAGGCAGGGCCTTGCTATATAATCTCCCTGTAGTGCTGAAAAAAGATATCAGTGACAACTCAAGATTTATTTACTTTTAGCCGGGCGCTGGTGGCTCACGCCTGTAATCCTAGCTACTCAGGAGGCTGAGATCTGAGGATCGCGGTTCAAAGCCAGCCCGGGCAGGA